TCGAAACCGGTCCGTTGTAAACAACCTAACGGGCAGCCACTTGTTCAACTCTTCTACAAACGGAATCTCCTCTGCAACAAAACGCCAAAGTGAGAAATCAAACACAAAATCGACTAACCTAACATAAAACAAGCAACCCTAATGTAATGAGCAAAATTACCTTCGCCTCTCTCCTTGTCTGGCCACTTCCGATTGGTCGTCATGCATAGAATCATCTCTACACTTCTCCTTTATCTCCGGTGACCATAAGAATCAAGATCGCCTTCTAAAGAATTCCCTTTTTTTTGTAACCGTAAACGGAAAAAGTCAAGAAAATGAAAAGAAATATATTTTACCTTAGGACAAGTGAATTAAGTCCAGTTTAATTTTAGTCTTGGTTCTAGCACACAGGATGATATCAAATTCTAAATTAATAACCATGAAACGAAAAGTAACTAACCCATTACTCTCGTTTCTCTTTTTAGGGATAAATTGGTCATCAGCCACAAAAACTACCATAATAGCACAATATGCTCAATTATGAAACTAAAAGCATAAAGTGGTTCAAATAGTAAATTATTCTTAAATTTATATTTCATGTTGTCATATTGAATTTTCATTTATTGGTAAATAATTTTGATTTATCTATCCATTTATACTACATTTTATTTATCTTTAGTTTTCATCCAAATATTAATTTTTATAGATTATTTTATGCAAATGTGTTTTTGTGAAAAAAAATATAAACAATTTTTATTGGACTAAGATGTTTTCATTGAATTCCCACTTCAGATTTTTTAATTATTGAATAAAATAGAGTAGTAGTATTAAATATCTAAACTATTATGATATTGTCAGACCTTCTCCTTACCTCCTTCGTTGGCCTTCTTCTTCTGCTGACATGCCTTCTTTTGGGCATATGTCTCTTTCTTCTCACTTGCCTCCTTCGTCGTGATCCTCTTTTCAGATGTCTCTTTCTTCCTGGTCCTCTTCTCACATGTTTTCTTATTCTCACCTGCCTCCTTCTCATTTGTCTCTTTCTCAACTGCCTCTTTCTTATGGCGTCTTGTCCCGACGGGACTCCTCACATTATCGCTTATCTTTGCTTTTTCCGAAGGACGTCCCTTTTCATCATCTTTTCTCTTCCTTTTGTTCGTCTCATTTTACACATCTCCACTTTCCTTTTCCTTCTCACCAACCTTAGCGACATCATTCTTTGCCTTCTCAGCCATCTCCAACTTCTTAGCTATCACAGACACCTCTGCCAATCCACTATCTTCCATGCCATCATCCTTAGAACCATCATCCTTATAACCACCATCTTCTGCATCATCACTCTTACCATGTGAAATTTGGATTTTCTTAGCAATATGGAGAACACTAGTATTATCAGTATTTCCATGACTTTGCTCTTCCAATGGATATTTACCACCATCGGGAACACTCATCCTAAGACAGCTCACTTCTTTTTCTAGAGCAGCTAGCCGATTACCCAATGAATCGACCTTTTTGTTCACTTCTCGGATTGCACGACCTTCGAACTTTTTTAAAGCCTCCACTCCAGAAGCCTTCACCGAATCTACATGAGCCTCAGAAGATTCTGCACGAGCTGCATCTCTAATAGCAGGAATGGTGGGACCTTCAACCGCAGTTGTATGAGCAGCCACATCGATGTTGAATTGTTCTTCAAAAAAAATTTGTTTCCTCCCTTTTTGTATTATCTTGGTCCAACGATCAACTGTTGCATCATCGCGCTCATCGGCCCAACCACTTTCCTTGCTCATCCCTATTCTTTCTAGAAGTCTCTTCTCATGCTCTGTTGCTACCAAGATACGTTCAATATCTTGTGTTTACAAAAAATACAAACTTTTTTTTGTCCTTAATTCGAATACACATATATATAACATTAATTACCTTAGTTTCACCAAGTGTGCCATTCATTGCATTCAAATTGTATGACTTGGTACCACCATGCGTCTGTACTGCATCTTGCACATCTGCGGGCAATCAGCGTGTGCACTATTCACTGTTTCTCTGAAGTAGTTCCTCAACCCTATAATTCCTCAAAGGCCAACAACTACACACAACAAAAATCAGAATTAACATAAAATAACGTATTTACTATCTTAAGTACAAGAAGAGCTTGGGAATACCTTCAAAGAAACATGAAAGCTTGTAAAAACGCAAATCTTTGGCATAACCCCCTTGCACTTCTCAAAGAAGGCAGATACATCCTTCAAGTTTTGTTTGCATGCGTACCATCCCCAAGTAAACGTTAAGCATGCATCGAGGTCATCAACAACAGTCAGAAAGAACCTGTCCACAATTGATGCTCTCTCTCTAGTCTTTCGGCTTCTAACAAGAATACTTGCTAAGAATTACATAATCTTATTCTGGAAACATATTCGAGAATTCTAACTTATTTTGGAATTAGAGATCTGATATTTGTGAATTAATGTTGGTTTTGGATTTGGATAGTCCTATATAGAATTATAATTATAGTAATTTTTCTAGGTTTGGGTGCTTTTTAATAAATTTTTTATTTAAATAAAATTTTAATAAATTAATTAAAAAAGGAGAAATATAGATTTTTTTTTCACCTAGGAACATTTGATTCCACAATTTACACCCCTTAAGAGCATAAACATCGGTGTCCTTACGTCCGGTCCTTCTAATTTTCGGGCCCAAAATTAAATCAAAAAGGCTTATTATTCGTGGGACGTATGCTGAATGTCCCAAGCTAAGAAGTTTTTGGGTCGTGTCCTTACGACCACGTGTCTTGTTGCGATTGAACCGAGTCAAACGGGGTAGGGGTTTGTCGTTTCACATGGTCTAATTTCATTTTCTTTTCTTCCCGATTCTCTCTGAGGCAACGGCGAGAAGGTTCTGTCGCTCTCTCGATTTCCAAATTGGCTCGGTGATTCCGACGGTGAACGGCTCCCTCGACACCGATCTGCTGTCTCACGGGGAGATTCTCCGTCTATTTCCACCGAAAAGGTGATGTCTCTCTCTCGATTTGCATGTGTTCCCGAGTAGAGATATTTTCGATAAACGTATTCTTATGTGGATTTCACTTTCGTAATTCATTTGTAATTGATTTACAGGCTTCTCCAGACTCTCTCTCTTTCGACTTCCAAATTTTCTCGGCGATTCGCACGGCGAAAGGGTCCCTCAAAAAGGTAATTCTTCCTTAGTCCATAGCTTTGTGATATTGTCGTCATATTCATGGTCTTAGATCCTTCGCATCTGGTTTTGACTTGTGTAATTAATTTGCATGCTGTGATTGAATGAATGTCGTTTGTGATTCAATGTTTTATATTGTATTGAATGATAGATGCAATAATTTGTGTTTTAATTTTTCAACTGATTTGTGTTTTAAATATTTTCAGCTGAGTTGTTCTTGTAGTAAGTTTGATAATAAGTTCAATGTTGTTTATCTCCATGTTCATATTGATACATCAAAACGTAGATTAGAGATCGAATAAATGAAAGAAGTTAATGCTTTTGGTAGAATTGCCGTAGACAGTGCAAGATGATGTGTGTTCATTTTAACATGATGTGTGTACATTTTAAGTCTGATTGAACTCTGGTTTTAGTTTCTGTTAAGTCTTTGTTTTATTGTCTGTTTTTGTTTGTCATTTATCGTTAAGTCTTCATGGTTAGTCATTATGTGTGTTTACACTTATTACACTACACTAGCTTCGGTTATGTCTATGTGCTTCTAACTTATTACCTCTTTCTTTCGTTTATTGTTTGTAGATGTCTCTTCCGTTAGGTGCGCATGAACCTCATTTTGTAAAGTCTCTGCTTCCTGGTTTCCACACTGGCTTGGTAGACACACTTCCCTTCTATTTTCTGCTGTATATGTTTCTAATAATGTTTAGTTGTGCTTAACTTTCTCTTCTCTGAATTTCAGAACATACCACTTACCTTCTTCGCAAAGCACATAGAAGAGAAGACCAACAAGACATAATGGAAATTAAGATCGGACGCTTCCGATAAGACTTGGAAATTGATACAAGAAGGGACGAGACTCACCAGAGGTTGGGAAACATTCGCCAAAGCACATGACTTTCACGTCGGTGACATCGTCATCTTCAAAAAGGAAGGACACATGGTGTTTCATGTAACTTATGTTGGTCCTAGCTGCTGTGAGATTAGGTATACACCTCCTCACGTGATCAAGGAAAAAGCCTCCTCACATGATGATGCAGGTGAGATTAGTAGTTTCATTAAAAACCCACCGTCCTCTTTTGATTCATAAATTTTTTTTCTTATGTTTCAGGAGGATCAGGAGCAATGTCATTTGTCACATTTGAATACTGTTTTTTGGCTGAGGTCACGGCTTTGAACCTAAGCGAAGACATACTTGTAAGTAGTTAGTAGTTTTGTGTGTTTATTTCAAATGTAAAACAAGACTAACTTTTGACTTGTTATGTGTTTGGAGCTTCTTCCTGTGGCAGCTACGCATTGTACTGCGTTGAACAAAGAATGCCAAGAGGTGATACTAGTGAACAAGGAGAGAAACTTATGAATTGCGAATTTGCTATTTAGCGAATCAAAGAGCATGTATTACATCAGAGAAGAATGGACGAAGTTCTGTCATGATAACAGATGCGACATAGGAGACTTATTTGTCATTTGTTTTCAATGTCGTTGGAGATGGCAAAACTGCTCCACTGATGTGTGTATATCCTGAAAGCGAAGAATACCGCCAAATACTGAAGAAATATTCTAGCAGAAAGAGGGGATAGTTTGGTGGTTGTTTATTTCATATATTACTATGTGGTGATGATTGTTGTTTTGGCTTCAAGGATGTATTACTCTACTGTTTCTATCTCATGATTCATGGCTCATGTTTACTTTGTTGGTGTGATTTTGGTTTTTTTGCAATTTTGTAATGTTTATTATTTTTGAAAAATAAAATATTTGTGTTTTCTATTTTAATGTAATACGTTTTATTTAAAACAAAAACAAAAAAAAAATTAAGGACTCAATAATAGGTCCTTCCAATAATCTTCTAAATTTCCAAAGTTTAAGTAAGTCCTTAAATTTGTCCTAAACATCAATATTCATTAAATATGTTAAGGACTCAGTCAAAAGTCCAGTGATTGCTCTAACAGCATTTGATCCCGTTATCTTTTCTCGGGATTTTCTCCAGACTTGTGATGGCTACGAAGTCAAAACTCCAGTCACTCTCAGCACGCCGTTCCTCGCCGCGTAATCGCTCCGGAGCTGCACCAGAACCCATTTCCACACCGGCTACTTTCTCCAGATTTGTGCCAAACCCCAACTCCACTCGTGGAACCGACAAGACTCCTCGAACGCCGTTCTCCGTCAAGGCCAACACACCCATCGGCGTAACCTTAAAGTCCGTCTCTTTATCAAACTGGTGGCTAACAAAGAAGGCAAACGAAAAGGGTCTGGGCGTTGCAGGATTCGAATCAAAAGGCGGGTCTGAAGTGAGGCTCTTCTCATCAGCAACAATCTCAACAAGACATGACAGCACCACTCTCGAAACATCTGATGGCCTTACTGTCTCCATCAGTGGATTCATCAACCGATCTCGTTCTTTACAGAACGGGTTTTCACAAGAGGTTTGCAACCGTTTTCTCTTAGGGTTTCCGTATCACTGGAAAGACTACACTGAAGAAGAAGAAGGGTTCGTGGAGGAGACAGATCACGGGGTCTCAATTGATGATATTCCTGTGAATAGGTTGCAAGATGTTATGTTTACTGCTTCTCCTCGCTTTCAAGATAAGATCTTGGGTGATGCTGTTGACAGTTTAAGAGATCTACTTCGTTCTAGTACTGAGAAACCAGACAAGGAGTGTCCGAAGCCAGAAAAGGAGTGTGAGAGGTCAGGCAAGGAATGTGGGAAACCAAGAATGGATGATGAGATTGTTGAGGGAGTGAAGACTAGAGGGATGCTTAGAAGGAGAGAAGAGGGTGAAGCTTCCATTGGGGAAAGACTCCACAGATCGGCCAGAAGAGAGATCAAAAGAGGAAGGTGAAAACTTTCGACTGTTGTAACATTGTTCTTTAACTCAGCTTTAGCCATGTGTATAAGCTAATAGCTCTGTAACGCTTTTGGATTGTATTTTATTACCCAAGGTAACATTGTAAACAAGCCAAAAATGTGAAATTTCTTTATTTATTTATGTATTGGTCTTTATCGTCCTTGTTGTTATTTGTCAAAGGAAGTATCCTAGAAATGAGGTTTGATCAAAGGATCCACCAAAATACTCGGCCAAAGACTAGTTCTCTCTTCTTTCTTTGTCTGATCCTGAAACTCTCAAAATTCTAAAATTTATGTGATACGGCCATGTTAGAGCCTTCCACTTCTTCCTTAGGAGAAAAAGGATGTTGCAGAGAGCAGCGAGCAATGCGTATTCATGGTGGTGGGCCAGCCACATCCGTACAAAGCAATCCAAATGGCTCGAACACAATCTTCAAGGTACATTCTATTTGTCCTTTGTTTTTGATCCAATAAAGATGATTAAGCCAAGAATTCTTTTGTGTGCTTAGATATGGAAGAGAAAGTGGAGTATACTCTTAAGATCATAGATGAAGATGGAGACACTTTTGCCAAAAGAGCTGAGATGTATTATCGTAAAAGGCCAGAGATTGTTAATTTCGTTGAAGAAGCTTTTCGATCATACCGTGCATTAGCTGAACGCTATGATCATTTGTCTAGAGAGCTTCAAAGCGCAAACCGCACAATCGCCACTGCGTTTCCTGAACATGTTCAGTTTCCTTTAGAGGATGATGACGAAACTGAAGATTGCCAAGGGAAAAAACAACCGCATCTTCATCTGATTCCCAAGGGAAGCAACATCCCAGAGATTCCAAAGAAAGAATTCAGGAGTCAGTCTATGATGTTGTCAAGAAAAGGACCAGCTGGTCTGAAAAGGACAGTGTCTTCTGCTCTAGCGAAGCGGGAAGCTGCGGTTGTGAGTTCTGGGTTGAGTAAAGAAGAAGGGTTGGAGGAGATTGATAACCTTCAGAAGGGGATCTTGGCGTTGCAGACGGAGAAGGAGTTTGTGAGGAGCTCATATGAACAGTCTTACGAGAGGTATTGGGATTTGGAGAATGAAGTGACTGAGATGCAGAAGAGAGTTTGCAGTTTACAAGATGAGTTTGGTCTTGGTGCTGCCATTGATGATAGTGAAGCTAGGACATTGATGGCGAGCACCGCTTTGAGCTCTTGTAAGGTTACACTAGCTAAGCTTCAAGAGAAACAGAAGCAATCTGTTGAAGAAGCAGAGATTGAGAAGGGAAGAATCACTACTGCTAAAGAGAGGTTTATTGCATTGAGGAACAAATTTGAGAAACCAGAAGGTCATAATCTTGATGAGTTCATTAAGACAGAAGAAGAAGATGTGGTTCAAGAATCGAGCTATGAATCTGAGAGAGAAGACTCAAATGAGAATCTAACTGTTGTGAAGCTTGCGGAGAAGATTGATGATCTTGTGCAGAAGATTGTTTCATTGGAGAGCAATGCTTCGTCTCACACTGCATTGGTGAAGACATTGAGATCAGAGACGGATGGTTTACATGAACATATCCGTGGTCTAGAGGAGGAAAATGCGTCTCTTGTTTCGGATTCCGCGGATATGAAACAGAGGATAACCATTCTTGAAAACGAGCTGAGTCAAGTTAGAAAGCTATTCCAAAAGGTGGAAGATCAGAACAAGAGTCTACAGAAACAATTCAAAGAAGCGAATTGGACTGCTGATGATTTATCTGACAAGTTACAAGATGTAAAGATGGATGAAGACGTGGAAGGAGCCGGAATTTTCCAGGAATTGCCAACGGTTTCAGGTTTAGAAGATTCTCGCGATGATGTAAAGTCAATCTCAAATGAGATGGAAACGAGAACTAGTGTTGACAAAAAGAAGAAAGATACCAAAGAGAGTGAAGGAGCTCAAGAAGAGAAACCTGAGATTAAAGACTCGTTTGCTATGTCAGAAACCGCAAGCACTTGTTTCGGAACAGAAGGAGAAGAACTAGTAACGGAAGACGAAGATGAAGAGACACCAAACTGGCGACAGTTGTTACCAGATGGGATGGAGGACAGAGAGAAGGTTCTGTTAGATGATTACACATCAGTGCTAAGGGATTACAGAGAAGTAAAGAGAAAGTTAGGTGACGTTGAGAACAAGAACCGAGAAGGATTCTACGAGCTGGCATTGCAGTTAAGAGAACTCAAGAATGCTGTTGCTTACAAAGACGTAGAGATTCAGTCTTTACGCCAAGAACTAGAGAAACACTCTCCCCATCAAGTAGAAGGAAATAACCAGTTGGAACATGATCAAGGACAGCCTGAAAGCGTGAGCATTTCACCAACTTCTAACTTTTCGGTTTCCACTACTCCGCATTATCAAGTAGGAGAGGTGAAGAGAACACCTGGAAGTACGAAGTCAAATGAGGTTAGGGTGAAATTTGCAGACGATGATGATAGCCCAAGAACAAAGACTCCAGCTGTGGAAGACAAAGTGCGTGCAGATATTGATGCTGTCTTGGAAGAGAATCTTGAGTTCTGGTTAAGGTTTAGCACATCGGTGCATCAGATACAAAAGTACCAGACAACAGTTCAAGATCTAAAATCAGAGCTATCCAAGCTGAGAATTGAAAGCAAGGAACAGCAGGAATCTCAAAGAAGTAGTAGAGGTAAACATGCAGCTGCATCAGAGGCAAAACCTATCTATAGACACCTAAGAGAGATTCGAACAGAGCTGCAACTATGGCTAGAGAACAGTGCAGTTCTTAAAGACGAACTCCAAGGAAGGTTTGCGTCACTAGCTAATATCCAAGAAGAAATTGCTAGAGTCACAGCTCACTCGGGTGGTACTAAAGTGAGTGATTCAGAGATTAGTGGTTACCAAGCTGCAAAGTTCCATGGAGAGATACTTAACATGAAACAAGAGAACAAAAGGGTCTCAAGCGAACTTCAATCAGGTCTTGATCGTGTAAGAATGTTGAAAACAGACGTAGAGAGGATACTAAGCAAACTGGAAGAGCACATTGGGATCTCAAGTGCAACAGAAGCAAGAACTACTCCAAGCAAGAGCTCTTCAAGTGGGAGACCGAGGATTCCATTAAGGTCATTCTTGTTCGGTGTCAAGTTAAAGAAGCAGACCAAACAGAAGCAAGCTTCATCCTCTCTCTTCTCTTGTGTCAGTCCATTTCCAGCTCCGCAACAAGTTAAACCTGGAAAGCTCCCTGAATAATCAAATCATCTGTCTGATTTTTTTCCTTTTAATTCCTTGTTTTCTAGTTTTTCTGTCTCTGTGCTAAAACTATTGCCTTACTGAGATGCATATCAAATTTCATCTTTTTGCTTTCCTGTTTTCTACTAGACCTTGAAAATCTCTTTGGAGTAAGTAGTGAGTACTACTACTGTACATCATCGTATTCCAGTCCTAAGAAAAACAAGAATAAAAGCACTAAAACGATGCAGGAAATATAAACTACAACCCCTTCTTCTCGCTCGCTGTCACGGTTGCAACATCAGGACTTTTTCCTTTACTTTCTTCGCCCTTAGGTTTTGATTCAGCCTCAGTCGCAACAAGAGGTGAAACCGTGGCACTACTCTCTTTTTCAGTCTGGGGTACTTGGGTATGCTTAGACAAAATAGTAGGAGTCTCCACTTTTGCAGCCACCGGTTTTGCTGTGCTAATCACTGAGTTCGTTGTGATGGCTTTATTTGGTTGGAGTGTTGGTGTAACCAATGGGTTTGCTCTGTTTCCCTGTGCCTGCACACCAACAGGCTTGCAAGTAGCAGTAACTCTCGCTCCCGCATTTGCCTTTTGTGCAGTAGCCGCAGGAACTCTCTGTGTAGGGGCCAATCTTGACGACGCAAAACCAGGAGCTGGATTATTCTGAATTGTAGGCCCTTTGGAGAACGGAGCCATAGTTGACGGTTTATTAAAAGGTGACGAAGATAGCATCTGTCTTGGGCTTCCAGTAACTGCATTCCTTGCATTCAAAGCGCCAGTGGCAGCAACACTCTTTACTGGCTCAGCCTTCGATGCTGATAGATTACTTGACGGACGAGGCAAAGACACTGCAGAACCGGTGTTTACAGGCTCAGCTCTTCGTGCTGATATAGTACCTGATGGACTAGAAAAAGAAGCTGATATAGTACCCAACGGACGCGGCGAAAAAGCTACCGGAGCGGCTTTAAAAGGCTCAGCCTTTGATGCTGAAATAACGCCTAGTGGACGAGGCAAAATGGCTGCTGAAGGGGTTTTGACAGCCTCAACATTCAGTGCTGATGATATACCTGATGGACGAGGGAAAGAGGCTGCCGAAGTGGCTTTTAATGCTGATGACATACTTGATGGACGAGGAAAAGACGTTGCAGACGGGGAAGCATTCTTTACGGGTTCAGCATTCAGTGCCGATGATATAGCTGATGGGCGAGGAAGAGAGACTGCTGCAGGGGAAGCCTTCATTACAGGTTCAACCTTTGGCACTAACGCAGAAACAGCGTTCTTTCCTGGTTCAACCTTTGGCACTGATGCTGCAGTTGCCAGGCCAGACATACAGGCTGCAGCAGCTACTGAATTAGCTGTTACCATTAGTGCTGATCTTGAAGTGGAATTTGCTGTTGTTTTCTTTGCAGGAACTCGAGATTTTGTAGTTGGAATCGATGTTGCTGCCCGGGGCGTTGCTTGAACTACTGGCTGAGACTGTTGTTGACCTTGCAATGAACTACCACTGTTGGCACCATTAGCTTGTGCTCCCGTGATGCTACCGGATGTACGCACTGGAGGTATTCGTAAACAAACAGTCATGTGACAAACTCAGAAAAGCGTTGAGACTTAAACAATCTAAGAAAGTATATTATAACATAACCAGAGCCTCGACGAACTTAAGAATAGAATTAGCTAGAAGGGATCTTCTGTTACCCATACCTACTGCCGCCTTTTTTGAGGGAACTCGATTTCCCACTGCCAAAGATAATGCACGATTAGCTGCCATTTGTTCTTCTGTTCTGTGTAGGCCATATTGGGTAGAAGAGTTTGAAGTATCACACCTTTTCTTTAAAAATCCCCACCGCTGCAAATAAGAAAATTCAGTTTGTTACCACCAACACGATGAAAGAAATATGCTATACAAAAACGATCATATATACTCATCCAAAGTTATCCTCGTAAATCTTTCTTCACACTACTATACCTGAAACCATAAGAAATAATTTGACGAAATAAATCCAACAAAAAAAGTGACAGAGAAGATTATTTCCCTCGACATCTGCCTTCTACGCTTGTCAAGAGATTTTTTTCAATCATCTCATTTAGCAATCCGTTGCAAGGTTTGAACTCGGGAAATATGGGGAAACCCACATTCATACTAACCTAGATGTCAACGGATAATTTTGGAGCAATGACAACAGTTCTGCTGATAGTCTCAATCTGTTACAGTTGCTACAAACGCCTACCAGCTAAAGAAACATAAACATCGATAAATAAGAGAGTGAAAAGGCCACCTAGTTGCATCTAGACAAAGTGTGACATAAATGGTGTAAAAGCTCATGAACATAAAAAGCTAGTGAAGCTTGTTTCGAGGGATCTGCTATGCTTCTTGTCTCTTAAGACAACATTAACAGAACTCAGATAATGGTGCATAAGACCAAGAACAAAACATTAACCGGAAAGATAAAGGGATGGCAATATAACCAATTGTGGAAACTGTCTCGTGTCTAGTGACTATACACTCCAAGTCCTAGACCATATCAGAGACACATATCCTTTTTCTGTAGTGCAATCAGAGACACATATCCTTTGAAGCTCAGATTCCTTTACCATACCGCTGTTACTATCAAATGGCTCTCGGCGTGATGGTAAGGAAAACTCTACATGTGCCACAAGAGCAATAAACAGGAAAGAATGCATAAACTAAACAAGAACGCTCATGCTGACACAAGAAGATGCACAAAGTATATGACAGATTATTCAAGAAATATGAAACAAATCAGCCAAGTAAAATTACAACCTGCGAGAGTTGTGAGACTGTTCTCTCTCCTTCAAATTCTTCCTTAGCAATAGTGACCCAGCTGCCTTCACCATGTCGTTTCACAGCAGCGAACAGCTCGTCATCCTCCTCAGCTGACCATTTTTTCCTTTTCTTACGAGCCACGCTACTGGGTAACCCATTTCCATTATGTCCCTCAGCTGCTTTCTGAAGGGAAATAGGAAAGGTGATATTCATCCCTCTTGACGACCAATACGACTCAGATGGTTCCTGAGGCCCCCTGTGCCCATAGGGTATATTAATAGTCAAGGGAGCCTCCAAAGTTGAGTCTTCAGGAATGTCGGAATCACTTGGCACATAGGAAGAAGCAATCACCTAAAACGGAGAGAAAATCAGGAAACTTAGCATTACAATCATTAGGACTTCAGAATAAGCAGATTGATATACCCAAGAATACTAGTCAGCATTTAAATTATTAGGAAGACTGCATGGTAGTATGCAAGCCACTAACTGAGACTCTAATAATACATGCACTACTAATTACTTTGGAATTTAACATGATAAAAATTTTAAGAACAATACTGCCACGAGAAAACTAGAGAAAGGAGAATACAAAAGTAAGCTCCTTGCCACAGGACGAATCCTATTTTTGGTGAACATAATTTACCAAATTTTCTAATGCCCTTCATGAGCATATCAAAGAACAAAACCCAAAGATCCAAACAAAGGAAAATGCAATCATAATCTGCTAGTTCTCTCGTAAGTAGGGATATGAAAAATTTAAACCACAATAAAATCACCAAACCATTTCTGAATATAGAGAAAACTGTCTACGGATTCACTTATATGAATCTAGAAAACAATGTATAATACAGAAGAATGAATTTAAGGAAAGTAGATGAACATCAGGAACTCATGTATCTCTCAGATAAAATGTCACAGAGAAACAGCAGTTATGATGCAAAGGTATAGAGAAGCAGCTCTTTTCTAGAAACCGAACAAGAGGTTCAAGTAAAAAGAGTCTCAAAAACATTTATCCATCTTACTTTCACATGCGCAACAGCTTCAGCTAATGCATCAACACTGACTTCAGGGGAAGCTTCTAATTCACACTCCATGTCACTATCATCATCCTGCACAAGCAAGAGTTTGTTAAATCTTCAAGTAATGAACAGCTATCACAGAATTTCGTTCCACCTTAGACCAAAATGCTTTTCACCAAGACGTTTCAGTATCCACCAACAAAATAAAAAAAACAAACTGCACTCCAGAGTGTCAAGAAAAAGTGCACAACACAGTATTGAGAATAATAGCCACTCATCAGACACTACTCCTAGGCAATGAATAAGAATCCCAAAACAAATATTCAAGGAAACGTTATTAATATAATCATCAGCAATGCTAAACTAAGTTTCTAACAAGATCCATATATATATCATCAAAGAAGAATGTAAAGCAAAGAAACCCATGTTAAACCACAAGACAAGTGATACTTATACAGACCAAAGGTAGAGCATTATTGTCCATGGGGAGGAGAGAATCTCGATAAGCAATATGCCGCCATAGCAACTGATAATCTCTAGCATTGGTGATTCCAGTACTAGTCTTCTTCACCATCTCATTCCAGTCCATCTTAGGTTCAGCGTAATAGGCCATTTCTTGTAGCAACTTCAGTATCGTCATGGTGTCATATCTGTAAATTAAAAGGCAAGCCCAGAGTGTTCATAGAATCAATTGAAGGGAGAGAAGGGAAGTGATACAACGAAGAGAGAGACCTTTGCAAAAGAGTGGCGATGTCGTCTTCACTGATGACCTCTTTCCTCTTCTTGTTACTGCTATCAACCATTTTTGTCGTGTTTTGTGAACAGCAATTCTCACATGTTACGATGAGTCGGATTCGAAATCTCTACTCGAATATAACAACGATTACAGTGACGAAACCCTAAGATAGGATTTAAGATTGAGAGACGATGCTAGAATGACCCAAGGCTAGGGATTAGTGCGAACGAAACGGCGGCAAAATCGCGGATATGGAGAAGGACGGCGATTCGATGATCGGAGAGAAGAGGATGCTCGAGAGGGGAGAGATAGTGGTGGCGCGTGGACCATACGCGAACGGTTTGGGTATTTGTTGCGAAGAACGGTTACAGTAATGCTCAGCCAAAAGATATCAGAATCTACTGTTTACTTGTCCACAGGACGAAGTTTCATGGTAACTTGTTAATACTTTTGTCCACGCAAAAAGGGAGAACTCCAAACTTTCAAATTAAAGCAAAAAAAAATTTTAACTTTCAAATACTAATTTTTTAACTTTCATATTTTGTTCCTGGTCATTTAAAAAATCGAATAATCAATTCTTAAATGCGATTATAAAAATAGATGTATGTTAACTCTGTAACCAATATTGTTTTAAATAATTAGTCAAACAACATTTTTTGTTTCTTTAAACACTTAAAACATCTCTTTCATGAAACTAGAGTCTCAAATCGACTTTATCTTCTCGACCCCGAATGAGGAGGATGAAGTCAATTTAAGATTTTGGTTTCATGAATAAGATACTTTAAGTGTTTACAAAAGAAAAACGACAGTTATTTGATTAATGTTTAATCATCTTTTAAAACAACATCGTTTAAGTAATTAACAAGTGTTTGTTTTTGTAATTGAATTTAACAGTTGATTATTCGAGATTTTTAAATGACCAAATCAACAAAATATGAGAGTTAAAACAGCCAATATTTAAAAGTTAGAGATTTATTTGGTTCAAACATGAATTGGAATTTTTTTTTTGTTTTAATTTGAAAGTTCATTGGTTTTAATGGTCATTTTTCCGAAAAATTAACTTGCGGATGTTTTTTTTTACTTCACATCAAACTTTTCATTAACCTGAATTGAAATATAAGGACATGATTATACAAGGGTTTAACTACACGGCCAAGAATTGATTTAGTATCTTATTATATAAAGAAGTTTTTTCTCATTCATGAGAGTTCCATGTCATTAATAAGGTAATCGTTGTCGTGACAGTCTATTAAACATTGCGTTTTTGTTATGTTGTTTCTATTGGGTTTTTATTGTCTCAAAGGCCCGTGTTAATTAGAAAAGCTCGGCCCGTTCACCGCACATCCTAAGTCACACACCAGAATTAGGGTTAGCCATTCTCTATCTTTGTTGCTGTCGAGGTGAATCTTCAGAAGCTTCCATGGCGTCGATTGATTTTCCTAACGTCAAAAGCATTGATCATTTCATTTGCTCTCCTCCCATGATCTCCTCTTCCATTTATCGACTGCTTCTCAAATGGCTAACGCAAAAGTTTTTTTCTCTGATTTAAAGTCCGACCGGTGTTTCTCCACTGTAGCGGCCCGTCTGCTCAATTTCTGGGAGGCGAGGAATGTGAAGCACGGCGGGGAGCTCATGTGGGTTGACATGCTTCTGATTGACTTTAATTTAAAGATTCGGCCTTATAGATCTGTGTATTGTTTAGTTTCCAGATTTCAGCCAAATTTAATCATTTTTCATCGTTATATGTTCCACTCTTACAGTCGACGATTATGCAAGCCACCATCATTACTTATGACCTTATGAGCTGGAGATAAATGAGCTGCAGGCTGCATGGGAAGACATCAAGAAAATGCTTCACATGACAGAGACTGAAGCTTCTTGGTGGAAAGACATTGTGTATATAGTCTCTGAACATATACCAAAACGGTCTAGAGAAGTAATCACCACTTTGCTCACTTCATAAGATCATATATATGATTTGATCGTTTATTCATTGAATGTTTTTTTGTGTAGAAAGATGAAACTTTGAGTTTTTAGCATGTTGAGTTACTCTTATTGTAGAATTTGATGTGTTTGCTATACTCGGGCCAGATCAGGTACAATTAAAGCACAACAGAGATATTAGAACATGTCATGAGGCAAGCGGATAAAACGGTTTCTCAGCTTAAAGCTATTTCAGAGCATCTTGCTTCAGCAAAGCAGATGGAAGCTCTTCAGGTGTCTTTACCTGCACATGTCCAAGCTGTCAAGCAGATTGGAGCGGTATTGAGTTATTCTATTGATGTCATCACTGCAAAAATCACTACAATAATACAAGAAAATTTCTCGATTCTGTGTAAGAACAACCCCTAACATTCTATTTGCTATAAAAGCCTTATGTTAAAATCTTAAAAATAGTGTAAGAGGGCATCTTCTTTATTGCAGGAGGGTGGCGCTTATCACAGTTTCAATCATTATGCTTATCTTTTGACAAATCTTGGTCTCGGTAAGTCACAAATCTGCATCTTTTGTATTGTTTTTAAGTTTTAAAGGATGTGCTTTTGTATGACTCCTGCAAGTTCATCATCTTCCACTACATGTTTCTCAACTGTCATCTAATGTATTAACTCTTATGATCTTATCTAATCATTTTCTCCTACAATTTCTTCAATTTTTGGTATACATGTCATTGTCCACACAAGTAAAAAAACCTGGAATGTTCTTTGTGTTCTTCTGCAACCGTGTAAATCTTGGACGGATTTTGGTGACTGGTACATACATCTTGAAAAGAACATTTCTTTCTTTTTTTTTTGATAAAACAGGGCATTTATTCTATTACACAAATGTGTCATAACACTACAAGAAAACTAAACATTTACTAGGAAACTTTACTAGGAAAATAATTCCTCGTAAAATTACTACGAGTTTACTTCGAGTTTACGAGGAAACCATGTTTCCTCGTAAGGTTCTCGTATACTTACGAGAAAACAGTTTCCTCGTAAAGTCGTAGTAACATTACTAGGACTTTACGAGGAAAAAAACGCGGGCATAG